CTTGGAACTCACTTCTGTGTTGGTCACCTGCTTTAACTCTCCCATTGCCTTTTCCTATGTAGAGCCTCTGGGTATCCTGCAGTAAACGGGCAAGATCTGAAGTGCAATTGACATGGGTAGGCGACTGGTCCTTGGGGACTGGGCGTGACCTTAATATTGCTGGGCTTCTTAGTGTCAGGGGTTCCCTTCGCTCAGGCAGCTGCGCCGGGGTGGCGAGTGAGGTTGGCGTGCTCAAGGGGACCATGCGACTCCATGGCAAGGCCGTGATAGCACCCGAGGAGTAACCCTGGGATGGTGAGGCCTACAGATCGCATCGCAACCAGTGTGGGCTTGCACCAAGGTTGTTGTCCTGCTCCTGAGTCACGGCAGGGCAGCCTTACAGAGGGACTGGTGGGGGTGGGACCCAGACCGATTCTGACCTTGTTCAGGGCCCAATCCTGAGCCACTGACAGCAGCTGCATGGGAAGCCAGATTCACCCTGACACATTGATTGGGTAAAGCAGGTGTAACTCTCTCCGAACCAGACCTCTTCCCTCCATGCTCCCTGATTTTCCCGGGCTCCTGGGGGCGGGCTGTTCGAGCTCTCCCGGCAGCAAGCAGCCTGGACTGACTTTAACAAAGGAATTAGGGTCTGGCTCACTCCCCACTCATCACTGAGTGCTGCTCCCCGATGGTCATTTTGGCTCCAGCACCCTGGGCTTCTTTCCAGTTCCCAGCCTGGGCAACCCAGACCCCAGCTGGATTTGAGTGGAGGAGAGGCTGATGGAGAGAGCCAGCCAACGTGCTGGGGAAGGGGGCACAGAGGCACTAAGCAAAGCCCCCTTTGGGCTCCCACCCATTTTGGGCAGGGGGCACAGAGACACTAAGCAAAGCCCCCTTTGGGCTCCCACCCACCAGGCAGCTGAGCCCCTGGCAGCACTGGCCCAGATGGTACCAGCAGGACCAGTCCCTGCTGGGCCCAAATTGTTTACTCGTGTTGGGGGGAGGGGTAGAGCTTTTTCCACACAGCCTCCACACTCCAATGAGGACACCTCCAGTTATGCCCCATCCACCCCAGCAGGCCAGACGGGGGTGGGGAGAAAGCTAATAACTGGTGCAGGTTACTCCTTTACAGCCTCCTCCTAGGGGCATTGTTATTACAGCCCAGCTCCCGCAGCAATGCTGCTGCACCTACCGCAACCCCGCCCAGCCTGGCGCAGGCTCCTGTATCCCCCGAGCCTGCCCAGCGAGTGAGCCCAGAGGTTCAGGATTCCAGTGGTGCTTGATGCCAACCAGCAGATGGCACGAGGGGTGCAGGAACTCTCTGGCTCTGATGACAACACGAGATAGCGAAGGGAGGTCTCTGCCAAGAGGCTCAATGCAGTGGTTGTCCTAACCAGCATGAGAGGCTTAGGTGCCAACTTTCCTTCTAGCCAGGGGGTGCTTGACCCCCCCCTCCACCCAAGCCCCCACACAGCCTCTTCCTGCTCCACATCTGCCCTGGCCCCGCCCAAGCCCCTGCCCCTTCCCACTCCCAGCGTCAGCACCTAGAGGGAGAGGTACGTCTACATGAAGACATTGAAGCAGTTTTGTTCTGTCGAGTTCCATTAAAAAGGGACGGGGGCCAATCCCGCCCGGAGAAGCGGTGTAGCTATTCGATAAGCCCGCAGCGGGTCAGCTCAGCCACGGCTCTCAAAGGCGGGTTGTGGTTTTATCGTACACACAGCCAGTTGTTTCCAATACTTCCGCCCTACTTGCACTGGGTGCTTGGCTAAGTAAACCGACACTGGATGTGACTACACGCTGCTCAGGGCTTGTCTCTTTCTCCAGCAGGCGCTGGTCCCATAAGAGACGTCCCCGTCCCCAGCTTGTCTCTAATATCCCGCGGCCAACACGGCACCGCCATTGACTGCTGCAAATAGCGGAGGGCGAGGAGCAATGCGGAGATCTGAGGTGGAACTGGAACGCGGGGAGCGCTAGTTCTCTGCGAGCCGCAGATCTGTGAATTCTGCAGAGCCATTGAGTCAGAGGCTGGGGCTCTCAGAGGAAGGCCGGGGGTAGACACCTGCCTGTCCCTCACCTGATCCAGAGCAACAGGGAGCAGCCAGCGCCCCCCAGCATGTCAGAAGAAGCACCCTCACGCTAAGGGGAGGTGGTAGTAGGGTGCCACATAGCCCTGGGGACCCCAGGAAGGGTCACAGCTCTGAGGGCTCTTTACAAATTCGGGTCTTCCTGAACCAATTCCAGACAACCCTCGGGCCAGCGCCCAGGCACAAGATACCACCAGCTAACCCTAGCGGGAGTGGATGGCAGCATGGCGCCGGGGGGGTTTCTGTGTGCAAAGAACAGAGCCAGGGCTCAGTGAAGGTATGTCTACACTGTGGGGGTTTTGGGATACCGGAAAAACTCTGCCGCATCCAGGGAATGCGTTTGCTCTTCTGCTTTTTTTTGCGGAAGTACAAACATGCTTTTGGAAGCCCTGTCTTCCTCATTCTATAAGGAAGACGGGATCTTCTGAAAGAGGGGGATTTTCCAAAATCTGCCAAGTGTAGTTGGACCAAATTTCAGAAAAGCCTCTTCTGAAAAAAAAATCTGAGAAAGCTATGCAAAATGTGGAGCATATTTTGCGTAGCTTTTTCTGAAGAAAAAAAAAGCTGTAGTGTAGACCTAACCTGAGACCTCCCAGCAAAATGGTTCAGTCATTTCCAAGAATAAGGCTAGGCAAATAAGGGGTGGCTTTTGTGTCAGTGGCATGCTTTCTCCCATCACTGTGAAAGTCTGCCCAAATTTGGCCATGCTATAAATCTTTGGGGAGGAGGGGGAGGGTAAAATGAGGATGGAATAGGGAACTGTTTCAACAATCTCAGTAGAGAATTGCTGAAACTCAACAGCTAAAATTACCAGAGGTTCTGTCCTCACTGAGCATGCTACATCCCCTGATAATTCATAGTGCTTATTCAACTGCCCAGGCACCATCCCCATGGACCATACTCGATCCTGCTTCTGAGATCTTAATTCAGCTCCTTCACAAATGTGCAACTCCCACGCCCCTCCCCGGCGTAGCCCCCACATGTGCACCCCTCGCCCACTGCTGTGATGCCAGGGCCACTCAGCCACCAGGGAATACACTGTTCCTGAGTCCCAATCAGCACCCCTGCCAGCCCTCCCTTCCATTGCCTTGCATAGCATCCCCCATTGTAACACTGAGGTCAGAGGCTGCACAGTCGTGTTGGCTCTTCCCGCTCCCCTCCCCCTCCGTACACACATGGGAGTGTTATAAGGGGGTACACTGGCTGTCTGGATCACGCAAGCCCAGCATTTGGCATGGGAGGAGGGTAACAGAGCAGCGCAGACACCAAGTGATGAGAGCGACACGGGGGGAGTAGGGGGTTGGGGGAGGCGGAAGCTGTTAGTGCAATAAGGGCAGAAACCTGCCTGTGCAGAGCAGGACACGCAGACTCGGGGTGAAATCAGACTCCTGCAGATGCCGGCCCCTCCCCAGGGCTCCATGCCCTGAACGGGAGGTTAGCAGCACTACATACGGCGACACTGGTGCTGACAAGTTCACACTCCCAACGTAGCCCTGGGGGCAATATGAGGATATAAGGCCCCCAGCTACCATAGACCCTATACCACGTCTGCTCCAGGTGAATGCCCATTCCCCACAGTGTCCCCTGCAGGCAACACAAGGATATACCAGCCCAGATCCCATAGCTCCAGTATGGCACCTGCTCCAGGTGAATGCCCATTCCCCACAGTGTCCCCTGCAGGCAACACAAGGATATACCAGCCCAGATCCCATAGCTCCAGTATGGCACCTGCTCCAGGTGAATGCCCATTCCCCACAGTGCCCCCTGCAGGCAATACAAGGATATTCCAGCCCAGATCCCATAGCTCCAGTATGTCACCTGCTCCAGGTGAATGCTCATGCCCTACAGTGCCCCCTGCAGGCAATACAAGGATATACCAGCCCAGATCCCATAGCTCCAGTATGGCACCTGCTCCAGGTGAATGCCCATTCCCCACAGTGTCCCCTGCAGGCAACACAAGGATATACCAGCCCAGATCCCATAGCTCCAGTATGGCACCTGCTCCAGGTGAATGCCCATTCCCCACAGTGTCCCCTGCAGGCAACACAAGGATATACCAGCCCAGATCCCATAGCTCCAGTATGGCACCTGCTCCAGGTGAATGCCCATTCCCCACAGTGTCCCCTGCAGGCAACACAAGGATATACCAGCCCAGATCCCATAGCTCCAGTATGGCACCTGCTCCAGGTGAATGCCCATTCCCCACAGTGTCCCCTGCAGGCAACACAAGGATATACCAGCCCAGATCCCATAGCTCCAGTATGGCACCTGCTCCAGGTGAATGCACATTCCCCACAGTGCCCCCTGCAGGCAATCCAAGGATATTCCAGCCCAGATCCCACAGCTCCAGTATGTCACCTGCTCCAGGTGAATGCACATTCCATGTCACTGCATTCAGGGGGATAAAACGCCCCAGCTCCCACAACACCAGTACTGCACCTGCTCCAGGTGAGTGCTTGCTCCCCACAGTGCCCCCGGGGGCATCAGGGAGATATAACGACCCCGGCCAGGTACCACAGCTCTGCTGCTGCAGCGGCTCCAGGCCATCCCAACCCGACCCATGGGATTCAGTACGAGCAGCCAGCTTTGCGTTCTGCCCGAAAAACACCTGGAAAGGAAAGCGATGAGCTTATACTCGGCCACCCGCAGGGGACGCTGCTGCCAGCATGCAACGCAGCTGCCTTCAAGCTGCTTCAGCAACCCCCTGCAATCACCTCCCATTCGTCTTAGCTTCATGCACCTCGGGGCATGCATGCCACCCCACCTTCCCTGAGGAGCGGGCCCGCGGCGCAGGGTGGGGCTGGGGCAGCGGGAGCGTGCGCTGTGGATGCATATAGGTTTGCAGGGCTGGCTGGGTCAGTGAGCGGCAGGGGTGGTGAGGAATGAGCAGGGGGGAGGGGAGGTCGCAAGCGCACCATGTGTCTTCGTTACCTCGGTGGCAAAGATGCGCGGCTCCATCTGGTCCGGGATGATATAAATAGGGCGATAGGGGCCTTCTTTGGGGTACCCAGCAGGGGCACGGGAGAAGATCGGCTCCGATTTCCTGCTGTGAGAGAGAGGGGAAAAAAATCCAGCGTGAGCAATGGGGGCGTGATGAGATTACACAACTGCAGGAAGAGGGCTTGAATAAACCCTGACCATCAGAAAGCCATATGTAGGAGGTCATGACCCAGTTTGCCCAGTTAAGGGGGATAAGGGAACCAGCCATACTGTCCCATGATTGAAGCCAGAAACAGGGAGTTAGGATTCTTGGGTTCTCCTCCCAACTTGCTGACTGAATCAAGCAGACCAATGGAATTATGTACCCAGCTTCCAGTGCCTAGGCACCCCAGGATGGACCAGGACCCCATGGTTCTAGGCACTGCACATTGTTGCTATTAGAAGTATTATGGTAGCACCCAGGTGCCCCTGTGATAGAGCAGGAGCCTATGGTGCTAGGTGCTGTACACTTTTATTGCTATTGGGTGTGTTACGGTAGCACCTGGGGGTGTACAGCACCTAGCCCCACAGGATCCTGGTCCATCCTGGGGTGTCTAGGCATTACCGTAATACACATAATAGCAACAGAAACATCTTATGGGTGCACCTGGAAACCCCAGCCACGAACCAGGCCCCCACTGTGCCAAGTACTGTACAAACAGCAAATAAGATGATGGGCCCTGCCCCAGAGAGCTCCCAGTCTAAGTATAAGACAGGAACTGGCAGCTGGAGCCCGGCACAAGGAAACAATCAGCCAAAGATGGGGCTGCAGATCCTGGCACAGCAGGGTGTGAAGGAAGGATGGCAAGGAGGACAGTGCAAATGTTTAAGAGGAGCTCCTTCCAACCAGGGCTGACTGCAAGCCCAGACCCTAATCCCTGTGTGGATCTACAACATGCATCTCCTCTCTGCTCAGCATCAGGCCGGCCTGCGTCCCAGTCTCTGAAAGCAGTTAGAACACGTCAGCACAGAAAAAACAACGCGGCCAGTAGGGCAGAGAACTCACCTCCCTAAATTCCCAGGTGCTTTGACTGCTGAGCTCGCCCTCCCCAAAACCCCTGTTCCACAAACACACACCTGGCTGGTCTGCGCTAGGGAACAGGACGTAGACTCAGCTGTCTGGACAAGGGTACGTCTGTCCCAAAGAAAATTCCAATATTTTATTTGGGATGGAGGGGTGGTTAAAAAAATTCTACATATTGAAAAGTTTCAACCCAGAGACGGGGGGGGGGGGGGGGGGGGGGGGGGGGGGAAAGGAAGGAAGGTAAGTGTCTGTGAATTGATGATATTAGAGGTGGGGAGAGTGGGATGTTTGTGAGTTAATGGTATTAGAGGTGATA